GTCAACTGATGAGCTGACTGTTACAGGCAGCTAACAGCTTATCAATCAACTGATAAATCTCTTCAGTCGACTGATAAGGTTATCAGTCGACTGGTCAGTCAACCGAATAAGAAACAGAAACTTTTAAAGATTACAGGCAATTTCATCAGTTGACTGATAAAAATCATCAGGCGACTGATAACATGTTTTTAGCCTAAATTGAATAGTACAAACAAAATTCAAAATTATTTTGACATAATGAGTATGCTCTATGTTTCTGAAGCAGTCCTATGTCGATGCTTCCCCATCACTCTCAAGGGAAGTGCTAAGTTCTGGTGGAATGCTTTGGAGAAGAGATCCATCGATAATTTTTGACAACTCAGTCAGAAGTTTATTCATCACTTTCTGGCCGACACAAAGCAGAAGCTTCCTCCTCACGTGCTGATTGAAATGAGGCAAGGACCAGACGAAAGCCTCCGAGCCTACTTCAAGAGATTTTTAAGCGAAGAGGTTGGAAGTCAACGATCCCGAAAGCACAGTCGCCATGTCGGCACTTGTAGTAGGTCTCCAGAACAATGAATTGGTCGATTTTCTTACCAAGAAGCTAGTTGCCAACTATGAGCAGTTAATGTCCAAAGCCCATGGATACATGGATATGGAAGATGCCCGGGCTTACAAGGCTTCAACAAGAAGAATGGAGACTCCTGATGCCATAATTCCGACCCCGACAACTGTGGTCGTCCCTTCAAACCCTCCAACGACAATGTCGACCCAGAATCCTTGGAAATATAAACCTATACTAAGTATACCAAGAGTGAATCATATGAAGCTTGAACTTGATTGGTTGACTTGATTTACATAGGCTTCAATATCCATGTAGCTCGTTTTCCTGTGTATACTAAACAACACAAAACAAAATATTAAAAACAATATTAGTCGTAAATTGTTTGTTAAATCATCATCAAAACAAGAAGGCTAACACATTAATCAAAATTGATAAAATTTATTGAGAAAATTTAAAACTAGCGCCAAAAATAAGAAATATATATACAACATTTTTTATCTGTCCCAAGCCAATCTTTGTGAATGATGATCTGTCTGAAGGTATAATACATCAGGCTGCCTCTGTCCCGGATCCATAAATGGATATCTCTGAGATTAAAAAACAATATGTTAGATTTTCAAGTTAAATGACTTAATCATATGTATTTTGATGGCCAAAATTAAGTAAAGAATACATCCAACATAGAAAAGTAAAATAAGAATAGAACATGCATAACGATTGTCACATATTCAAGATTCAAAATAAAATGTTATATATTACAAAAATGATTGTCACATGCGAACAAGGATTAAAAATAAAAAGTTATATATTACAAAAACCATAAGCGATATATTCCGTACAATTGTCCCCAGAAGCCTAGTTGGACAATTGCTTTTGTTGTGGCCCGGTTGATCGCACCTACTACACTTATTTTTCCTTATGATTCCTTCTCGACCATCATCCATATTATTTCTAATTTGTATGGAACGAGGTTGCCCAGCTGATCTTTTATACAAAGGAGGTAATATCCGTGGCCAGCCTTGTGTCCAATGTCGACTATCATATGGTGGACAAAAATACTCTTTGTACGTTTGTTGATATTTATAAGTTGAATACCAATCTACAACGAATGTATAGTGTGAAATCCTCATACCATCCTGTAGATCCGAGCCAGCCATGACAACATGGGAATAAGGAAGCCATTGTAATTGTGGTATATCGCAAGTGCATGTACAAGTGTGATCCACTAGCATATTAACTTTGTAAGAGCGACTTTCTCTATGTGATATTCCCTCAATGACCTCCCATTCATTAAAACTGTATCTAACGACACGAAATAATCGAGCTTGCACAATCCAATCCGCTAATATGCCTTTAACCTTCAGCGTCAGCTCTGACGGGATATTTGCACCAAGTGTGTGTCGTTTGAGGAAGAATTTATTAAGTCTGTAAAATATTTTTGCAACTAATGACTATATTGGCATGCCGTGTGCTCCCCTAAGCACACCATTGAAACTCTCAGAAGCATTAGTGGTCATCATACAAAACCATTTCCCGCCATATTCACATAAAGCCCACTTATCAACATTGTTCGGACCTAAACTAGTCTCGATCCAATCATGTGCAGCTCGTGAAATGAACTTAATCCTCTCATGTAGTTGCTCATAAACTAATTTTTTAATTGTACATCTAGCTTACCAAAGAAGATCTTGAAGCTGCACTTGTCCATGCTTCCTCTTGAAGTTGTCCCTAATATGTCGCAAGCAATAGCGACGTTGATGTGGCGACGAAAAATATCATTAGAGCGCTATTAGAATTCTTTTCATCGTATCGGATATGAATGCAATCGATCACATTCGCGCACTAGGGATATGATATCTAATGCATGTAAAAAACCATGCCTAAATTTTCGTGTTTTTAACATCAACCACTGCAAAGGCCAAATGAAATAAACTGCTATCTGTGTCTACTTCGGTTGCAACAAGCAAAATGCCTTTATATTTACTGTACAAGTAGGTACCGTCAATGCTAAGAAGATGATGAGAATATCTGAATCCCTCAATACTAGGCCCAAATGCCCAAAATACACATGTGAACCGTCCGCCATCAACATGGTCTGATGATACTTCGTACACTATCCCCGGATTTTTTTTGAGTGCTTCAAGATAATATGGTAAGATCTCATAAGATTTGTCCTAATCTCCGAATATTTTTATCATCATTTTCCTCCTAACATTCCAACACTTATTTTATGATACATCCAAGTTGGTCGCTTTATGCACTAAAATACGAATATCATTTGGCCTTAGATCAAGATCCTCCCTTAGTTTAGGCATAATCAATTGATATATGAAAGAGGCTGACACGTTTTTATGATTCATCTCTAATCAAGGATTGCTACAAGTGTGAAGTTCGTTGTAGTGTGTTATTTTAAATTGCGCTCCTACTCTTACACCCAAGCGTGAATTAAGCTTCCAAGGACATTTTGCATTTCCATCATGGTGCCCACTACTATCTTCTTCCTTACCTTTTTTGCGGTAAAAATAAACTACACTATAGCTTGTTGCATTGCTTTTTGTCTGCCTAAACTTGACATTTAATTAGGATGACCCACAAACGAAGTGCATGAATCAATTTCTCATTACTTTCAAATAGATCGTCCTTTCTGAATGAGAAGTCCTCGCCTTGTGTAACATCAACTACATTAGTGCCAATAAAAATACTTTCCATCGTGGAGTTATCAATCCATTCTTCTCCACGAAGTTCATCAGGCGGGGGATCCTTTAACACGACATACTCATTGTTAGAGTAACATCGGTCAATATATTGGTTGTCCCCTTCATCACGATCTATCAAACACGTCATACTATTAGTTTGTAAATCATTCTCTTCATCACCATCCTCAGATTCGACACTTACATTATCATCTTCTATCGTCACTCTTGTGGAAGGCATTATACTTTGATGGGGAGCACTATCATCAAAGCATTTGAAGTGCCCATAAGCGAATGACCGCTCAAGTATTGTGACTATGTCCATCCTATATCTTGTTGCGGAGATAAAAAGCCGGCTGAGTCAACTTCAAGGTCCTCCAACATGCGAGAGTATACTCCGTCGTGATTCATCGATTTGCCCAAATTTCTGTGATGCTTTTCAATAAATAATTCCACCGAATGCTTTACGTCATGCAATATTCCAATAAGACCAATATCGTAGTCACTTAAGATTTGAATGTCGCTTGTTTTGTTCCCCGTAACAGGATAATTGTAAATAACGTTGAGGTGATACTCACATGGATTGGTTAATGTAGCTTTGTGTAAGTCATTAACCAATTCATCGAAAGTATATGATTTTGATATAAACAACGGCTTCGTCACATCTCCTTCATATACGGCCATATTATTCTCGAGATAGTTAATCTTTCCATCATATGAACAAAGAATTACGATTCGATCTTTCATCGTTATCTCTGAAGAGTAAAAAAAAAAATCCAATATCAATATTACACGAAAAACACAAAAAATATTATTTACCATTAAATCCTCTAATATCAATTTTAGACATCCATAATTTTAACCAAATGTCAAACATTTATAATACACTAACTTTTACAATTTTCGATAATTTTCCCTCTAGCTTCTTACACAAATTTCTTTACATTTTCTTCACAAAATTCATAATATTCAAAAATTATTTCAAAATCTAAATTTAAATAAGTTATTAGCATGAAAAAGTGAGAATATGTAAAAAATTAGGAGAAAAAACAAAAAACATAAAGATTTTACCTAAAAATGTCGATGCTCTAATTTCCGGTGAACTCCGGCAATGACGGCGACGGGATCGACGATCGCCGGTGGATAATGCGGCGGCGGCAGGTGACTGTATAAAGTTCTATGGTTTGGTGGTGAAGGAGCCAAGAGCAAGAGGGGTGAAATGGTCGGGTAACACGATTTCTGATCGTGTGGGCTTAGACCCTGCCCGTGGAGTTGCAGGCTAGCTCGACAGAGAGTGACGCTCTTTGGACTGAGGCTTGTAAACTTCACGGGATTTAAAATCCCATGAAAATTTTGACTGCTTAATCACATAGTTAACAAATAGCTTAAGCTTTACGGGATTTGAAATCTCTGACTGAAACTGGTCGAATTTGACAAATATTATCGAAATAGATGGATTTTTATAAATATTTTTTCTAAAGAGGTCTAAAACTAAAAATTGTAACATTCCGCACAAAAGCCGCCTACGCCCCCTCCCAACCAGAGATTAAACCGAGTAAAATTAACCCGATCACTCACATTATCCAATAAAATGTCGCCACGTACCCTCTACCCCGGCGTTCCTTAACCTCTTCTTCAAGCTCACCGTACCCCACTACAAACGGCGTCCGCAATACTTCCTCGATCCTAAACCGCCAAAATAATAGAAAACAAAATCGAATCGAAGGAGGATCGAGCAAGGCTTTTCCGATGATCCTCCGCCTCCTTTGGCGGCAGCGCCGCCCTCACCTCCGACCGCCTCGCTCGGAGGCGATTATCCACCGAAGCTCCCGTTCCTCCCTACTCTCCGACCCTCAGAAAAAACCCTAGCGATGTCAAACCCTTCCCCTCCTCATCTCTCTCCCCGATTTCGTCCCCGAACCCTAGATCCCTACCCATCATTCTCGTCTCCGGATCCCTAATCTCCTCCCTTGCCGTCGCCGCCATCATCTACAAGGGCGATCCCTCTCGCCCCAAACCGTACGACGGGTTCTACGCTGAGCTCGAGGAAACCCTAGAGAAATCGAAGAACTCGCTCCGCCGGGTGTTCGATCAGATGCTCCAGACCTCCGCGGCGGCTGCTGTATTGTGGAAATCGCTGACGTCGGTGATGTCGTCCGCGAATCAGGAGATGAGGTCGGGGTTCGAGTTTAGGGTTGCGGCACTGCTGGCGGATATTGCGGCGGCTAGTGGGTCCCGGAGGTCGGCAATTGTTGGGGCTGGAGGCGGAGCCGTGGTGGATTGGTTGCTGGAGACTGTGGGGACCTCCGGCAGGGACAGGAGTGGGACCCGTGAGGAGGCGGCGAGGGCGCTGGCGTACTTGGTGGCGGATCCGGGGGTCTGTGAGAGTGTTCTTGGAAGGCCTGGGGCCGTGCCGAATTTGCTGAGGTTTATTTTCTGGTTTCAGCCTAACAAAGAAACTAAGGTGATAATTTTATTAAAATCTATATGCCTGTCATTGCTTTCGATTTATACTAGTTTTGCCGAGACTTAATATTAAACTATTACTGTTCTCAAGTATTAATATGGTGTTAGTGATTATGAACTTTTTTATATTAATGTATCATCTTGTTAATGTTGTATATGCTTTTAATTAATTATGAAATTTAGTTTATAAATTTTATTATGAAATGTAGATATTAATTGCAAGGTTATTGTTTTAAATCAAGCAATAAAAGAACTTCAGTAAATATTAAGAATATAACACTTCAGCAGATAGCAAAAAAAGTTAAAAAAAATACTGCAGTAGATGTGCAAGTGTATCAGAATTCACATAAAAAGAAAAAAGCTTGAAAGTTTAAACTTTAAAAAGTTCAATGGTTGAAGCTTACCTATTATTAATTGCATGAAAGTAAAAATTTTGAAGCCCTACGAATTTGCCAAGTGACAAAATTTGCAACTGTGGTTTTTATTTTAGCATAGTGCTAATTTTTTCCGCATGCAGTGCACAGGACTTCATATTACAAACTTTAAAGTGTCCATTATGTCGAGGAAAATTAATGAAATCTAGAACTAATCAAAACCCAGAAGCCTATTTGTATCACTTGCATTATTACAAAAAACAAATGAACCAAAAAAGAAAAGAAAAGGGAAATTTAAAAGTTATATTAAGGCAGATTGCCTCCTCGATTAGTAAAAAAACTAATAACACATTAGTAATTAGGGAGAAAAGTACCTCTGAATGACTTCAAATCTACACTTTCTAATAGTTGCTCCTTCCATCTGCTCAAACTCTCATTATCCGGAAAAGAGCAACACAGAAGGTCCTTGATTGCAAATTTTCAATAACCCATAAAAAAAGAATCATATTAACAATAAAAAAGAGAGGAAAAACTTTAGAATGAATCACAATGGAGAAGGGGAGGAGAAGTGTGGAGATTGTGATGATGACAGTATTTGCGTAGTAGTGTAATGTAATAATTGTTTGCTTTTACTATTCCTTGTAATGTATTTAGGATGCCAAAGGATTGGACTAGAATCTAATAATTGGATTAGGGTAGTGGAGAAACTAAGAGGTTACATTTTATGAGTAGAGAAGTTGAGAGGTTCTAAAAGGAAAGTCTAAAGAAAGGTAAAAGAATACATAACCAAAATAAACCACAAGTTGCAATCAGCAATCAAGGGTTTTACTTTAGTATATAGTATAGATAGAATAGTGTTTTAAAGGCGATGCACTTTAGCGCCTCAGGCAAGGCAATGTTGTAACTTAGCGCATTGAGTACTGCCAGGCGATGAAGGCTACTAAGACGTGCGCCTTTTGATGCCTCCAGAGCTCGCCTTTGGTGACTTATGACCTCACCTTGGTGCATATCAGGCCCTTTCCTAACGCATGAGATGCAAGGCGCGAGGTGTTAGTATCTGTTTCAAAATTTTGAGTGTGCAAAAGGTGTCCGATAAAGTAAAGTTTATTTCTATTAGTGAATTTTTGTGTTCTTTTTTCTAGGTAGATTTTTTGCTATATTTTCTTGTACTTTATTACCTTTATTATTTTCAGGACATGCTACTATTTGCACCTTAAGTTTAAAATTTGCCGCTTAAATATATGTGTTATCAGTTACTAGCTAACAGTGCTATTCAACATTTGTTACTTACTATTTAGATGATTTATGACATATTAGATTTGTGAATTTAAAAATATGGTTGTGATTAATTTGTCATGTTGCTATCTGTTGATATTTGCGTACTATTTGTAATGTTTATGAATTTCTTGAATATTTATCGCCTTGGTTCGTTTAAGTGGTCGCCTTTTTTGATGCCTCTTACCTCAACAACGAACCTCATTGCCTTGACCTTGCCTTTTGCTTTTAAAAACTATAGGTAGGCTAGTGCTAAAGATTCAAACACCAACACTTGCACGGCTACTTGGGCTCAAGAAAGTAGTTATACTTTAGTTTCATAAATTTTTTTGTTCTTACCATGCTTTGTTGATACGGTCAAAATTGCGCCTAAATTCAGTCTCCTGCGCAATTATATTTCAGAAACTATGACTTTTAAATACATTACATGATTTATTGAATCCTTTTTTCATTTGTCTTCATTTATAACGTCTCAATTATTATACACTTTGATGCTATTTTCCAATTTGTTCCCCTTCAAATAATTTCTCAGATGTAGTAGTCTACCTCCAGGTTATTGTTAGATAATTGGAATGTTCTGAATGTTTTGTTAGGATAATTATAATTTCTAACTATGACTAAATTAGGAAAATTCAAGAAATGAAGTCAGTTTATAGTTCTCAACTTAATAATATGAAAAATTCAATGGCCACCCACCAGTTACAAAACATAGATTTTTCTCAAGATAAGGATGAAGGGGGGTTGAACAGATATACCTAAGGAGATGAATTAGGGAGGAGGGGGAAAAAACAAAGAGTGGAAATCAAGAGCATATGTAATAGAGTATGAAATTATAACCTACACTGTATATAAATAGGGAAGAGGAGTTATGGTGAATGGCTATCCCATCCATGTAGCATGCATGAACATGTAAAAGGTACATAATTGCATTTATCATGCTGGGTTTTGACTGTTTGCATATTTTCTTTTTGAGTTGAAAATAGTACTGCTTGGAGAATTGGATAATATGTTTGTGTCTCATCTTCAGACTATGAAAGTATATATTAAATAGTATTCAAGTTGGGAATCATTAAAGTAGTTACTTTAGGGTAAATAATTTCCTCTTTGGTGTAGGGAGCTTAATAGAAAAATGAATAAAGGGATATTGTAAATGCACTCTCTTTCTGTTATGTCCTTTATGTAGTCTACTGCTGATTTCCTATCACATAACCATTGACTATCAGGTTATTTGTCTCTGAATGTCATTCCTTAGAAAATTTGTATTAGAAATCTATATTTCATTTTGAACTTGCCTATTCCTTTGTTTTGAAGTTTGGGCCTGCTGCATGGAATTAACTTTTCTTTTCATAACAGCAGTACAAACACAGTTCACTAGATGATCCTCATTTTTTTAAAGGGAGGAGCATGCTTGTTGCTGCTCTTATGGACATAGTTACTTCAAATTGTGAAACTACAGATTTCACATCATTTCAGCCATTATTGCCAGGCAATGCCGATACTAGGGATATTGCCGCAGCTCTTGAAGTTGTGGAGGAAGGTGGAATGCACTTGGATGATGAACATGGGGAGGACGATGATGGTGGCAGTGGAATGAAGGGAATTGGAATCAAAGTACTTGGTGGGCCAACTATTTTAGGATTTTCAAGGATGACTGACCTCTTAGAATCTGACAATGTTGAGTTGGAATCAACTTCATACACAAATAAATATACTGCATTACAAGAAACTAGCAGTAGGTTTCTACAAATGGGGAAAGATTCCACCACTGTACCAGGACTCTGGGATGACTTACAGAGGGAGCATATTGCTGTGCCTTTTGCTGCGTGGGCTTTAGCAAACTGGGCTTTGGCATCTGATATTAATCGATCCCATATTCAAGAACTTGATAGAGATGGAAATGCTATCATGACTGCCCTGATGGCCCCTGAAAGGACTGTCAAATGGCATGGGAGCTTGGTGGCTCGAGCTCTCTTGGATGACCAGAACTTGCCATTAACTGATTCTGTCCCTGGTTGGAGCTCTAGTCTTCTTTCTTCAGCTTTTCATTCCAGCAAAGTTGGAGACATCTCATTAGCTCAAGTCGCACTATCGGCTTATGTCGTTTCTGTAGAAAGAAGTGATAGTGCGAAAAAAGCAGTTGTGGGTAAAGGTCTTTATCTCATGAGACAAATAGCTAAACAAGCAGAGAGACATAGGAATTTGCAAGATTCATTGGCAAGGGTCCTGGAATTACTTTATGCTGGGGATATGCACTTATCTCTGGAGGAATCCCAAAGATGGTCTGGTATACTTCTCCGTTGGGTTTTCAATACAGCTTCCACAGATGCTCTACGCCATTCAGCAACCAAAATTTTGTCCTTCATCCTTGAAGACTACGGTCCTGCTTCGATACCGATTTCTCAAGGTTGGTTAGCTATTTGTCTTAATGAGATTATTGAAGCGAGCAAGACATCAAATTTGAAAGGAAGCACTGCTTTGAAGACTAACAAAGTAAGAGTTTGATTCTTGAATATTTCTACTATCTAGTTACCTAATTACATGGATATTGGAGTTTATCGCTTTTGTTTTCCAAGAAACAGACCGCAACAGAACTAGGAAGACAAGTAATTTTTTTTCTTTCCTTAGTATAGTACCCCATTCAGATTGCTTTCACTTGAAGTTTTATAGAAACAGCCATGTAGATACAACTATTTTCTTGAGGTTTACATATGATTTATTGCTAAACTGTATGCTTTAATCAAACGTTTAACTTATGTTATCACCTTTAACTTATGTTATCACCATAGTAAAGCCTATTTAAATAAAATATAACTAGAAAGCAAAAGCCGAGAGGTAATTTGAAAAATAACATACTATCAATAAGTATACTCAAATTTCCAACAATTTGATGGAGGAAAAAATACTGCTGCTTTCATCTCTTCAGCTCATGATTGGCTGCTTTATCTTCATCTTGTAAATGATGCGGCTATTCGTGATATGAATTTGACTGCTTCCTGTATTGATTTACAAAGCTATCTGAATAAAATTCCTACATTCAAATAGAGGTGCTCAACCTTTTTATTTTTATTTTTTTATTTCATTTCATTTTTATAACTTTCTTCTTAACTTGTCAATGAGAAGGCTCTTAAACAAATAGTTATGATAGTTATTTTGATTGTGAAAAAGGTATCTAAATGAAGTTTTGTTTATTAAATGTATATAAAAAGAAACTGTATATGATTTGAACACATGTAATTTTTTACTTTTTATCTTGTATAAACACAACCTGTTGTCATATGTTAGGTGGCAACCGGGCTATTGACAGTTTAAGCACGTCTACAGAAACACTCCAGCATGTTGCTTATGATTGTGCATGCCTGCTTTCATGTATCTGTTAACCATTCTTGTCATTCATTGGTTACTTGAGTAAGATTTAGTTTATAAGATTAAATATGAAATCTAGGGTTTAGTTAACAATCTTCATTCCACTAGATTTCATAAAATGTCCTGAGTCCTAATTTGCTCAAAAAGGATATCAATATAAACACCATATATTGATGAAAGGAGGAGGTAGGGAAACTTCATGTTGGAAAACACAAAGGAAGAGATGGATGAGAAAAGAAAATTTATCAAACTTTCTTCAAGATTATACTTTTGATTTTTATAAATATTTTCTTGTAGCCTTAAATATGAAAGCAAAAAATTATTAGTATTTTGATTGGTTTAAGAATCCTTTTTAAGAATCCAATTAATATGGAAATCCTTGTTTTCTTTAGTCTTTTCGTATTATTTCCTGTTCCCCATCAGGAAGAGAGTTGAAGAGCAATATCTTTGGTACCTTGTGTTTACATTCAAGGCAAACCTCACTGCCCACAAAAACTACATAACCATTACCAAATGTTTCCTTAGTTTAACATCAGCTTTGGCCCTTTTGGACTAATTTTGACTTCTTTTCTTGCCAGTTAAAATGATTTTCCTTGGAACCAACGAACTCAATATTTTGATCTAGTTTTGAATTGGACTTTTCCAAGCTTAAAAAAATAGTGCACATCTACGTCACCCGGAACTTCTATCGTGAAGCTGTACATGTCCCTGTCCCCAACACGTATACATACCAAAACTTCATGGACACTCTTTGGATATACGCACACATTTATTTAAAAAAAAAACTATTCGTGCGCAAGCTTAAAAAAACACTTGCCATACACTTCTTGGATGTCTATTCTACACTTCTTCGTCTATTCTACACTTCATGAAGAAATCATGAATTTTCTTCTTATTTAAAACAAGAGAATTACATCCTTAATATAGTAGAACGAGTGGCTGGCATACCAGTCCACTAAAATAGGAAACTGAATTCCTTTAAATTAGGAATTCCAATGAAACATGAAACTACCTAGATTACGAATAATAAATTAGGAAAAAACTACAACTAAATCTAATCTAATCTTTACAAATAAAGAAAGTAATCTTCCTAATTTATTTACATAATTCGATCCATTTTTCTACACCCCCCTCAAGCTGAGTTGTATATGTTATACAAACCAAGCTTGGAGTTCAATTCATCAAAACTGATTCTTGGAAGTGCCTTAGTGAGAACATCAATAATCTGTTGTTTTGTTGGAATATAGCTAAGCTGAACAATCCCATCGTTGACCTTCTCTGAGATGAAGTGTTGATCGATCTCAATGTGCTTCGTTCTATCATGGTAAACAAGGTTTTTGGCTATGCTAATAGCTGCTTGACTGTTACTGTACATCTTGACTGAGGCTTGTACTTCAACCTTGAGTTCTCTTAGTAATCTCTGTAGCCACGTTCCCTCACATATTCCAAGAGCAAGTGCTCGGTATTCTGACTGCACTACTCCGTGATACCACAACCTGCTTTTTGCTTCTCCAAGTGATAAGATTTCCCCACACATAAGAGCAGTAGCCAGTAGTTGATCTTCTATCAATTTGTTCTCCTGCCCAGCTAGCATCAGTATAGATTTTCACTTCACGGTTTTCACATTTTTTGAAGAGTAAACCGTATCCAGGAGTCATCTTCAAATATCTCAAAATTCTATTTACTGCCTCTAAATTATACTCAATTGGATTGTTCATGTGTTGACTAACTATACTGACTGAATAAGCAATATCAGGTCTAGTGTGAGATAGGTAGATGAATTTTCCAACCAACCTTTGATACCTTCCATTGTCAACAAAACTGCTTTCTTCACTTCTGCTTAGTCTTTTGGTTGAATCCATAGGTGTGTCGGTAGGCTTGCATCCAAGTTAACCTGTTTCACTTAGCAAATCCAAGATGTACTTCCTTTAGGATATAACAATCCCCTCCTTTGACCGGGCCATCTCCATTCCTAGAAAGTATCTTGATGTTCTGAGATCCTTGATCTCAAATTCTGTTGCCAGTAACCTTTTCAGGTTAAGAATCTCCTCTGAATCATCTCCCGTTAAGATGATATCATCTACATAGATTATGAGAATGGCCATCTTCCCTCTAGCTACACCTTTAACAAAGAGTGTATGATCTGCTTGACACTGCTGATATCTATTAACTGTCACAGTCTTAGCAAACCTGTCAATCAGTGTTTTAAATATTAGCCGTCATGTCGGACATGGCGGCTGATATGACGGTTTTATACCCTAGCCGTCATGATATCCTTTATTTCAATGCGTATTGCGTTTCTGAGGTCATGTCGAGGACATGTCGAAAAATATTGGATATGTCGGGCGCCATTGCGGCCAAGAAATATAGGTCAAATTTTAAAAAAAAAAACTGTTTTAAGCTTATTGGGTCAAGTTTGAAAAACCCGACTCGGAAATCAGGTGTCTACAATTGGTTAGTGATCCTAACATCTATAAGTTATGTACTTTTTCATATGTTTAGACAATATAATTATCAAGTATGTGAAGATTTCATTTATGATATTATATCAACTTAACCGATATGGTAATCCGATATTTTTTTCATGTCCCCCGATATATCCCCGATTTTCACTATCCGACATGAATTTTGACCGATCGACATGAACCAGACATCCGACATTTAAAACATTGCTGTCAATCCATGCACGAGGAGACTGCTTCAAGCCATACAAAGACTTCTTCAATCTACAAACTAATCTATGGTTTGACCTGTTTTCTAGTCCAGGAGGTATGGTCATGTAGACTTCCTCTTCAAGATCCCCATTCAGAAATGCATTTTTAACATCAAGTTGATATAATGGCCAATCTTGATTTACTGTAAGGGAAAGTAAAACTCGAACTATGTTCAATTTAGCCACATGTACAAAAGTCTCCTGGTAATCAATCCCATAAGATTGAGTGAACCCCTTTGCCACAAGTCTTGTCTTGAATCTGTCTATGCATCTATCAGCTTTATTCTTAACCGTGAATATCCACTTGCATCCAACTGGATTCTTGCCCGGTGGTAGCTCTGTAAGGATCCATGTGTTATTCTTTTTCAAAGCTCGAATTTCTTCCTCTACTGCCTTCTTCCATGCTGGGCTCATGAGGGCTTCTTGAATTGATTCAGGTATCTTCACACTATCTAGATTAGTGACAAAGGCCTTGTAGGATGGTAATAATTTTCCATATGCTACATATCTCTCAATGGGGTGTTTAGTGCACCCACGAACCTCTTTCCTATGAGCAATAGGCAGATCTGAGTCATCAATCATAAGAGCAAGAGTGTGATGAGGAGATGAATCCACACCATTATGACCATCAGATGCAGTAGGATTTGGTTCTTGTGATTGAGAGTGCTGAGTTTGCATAGTTCCTTCTGTGTGCTTGGCTGGTCTTCTCCTTCTATAGACATGAAGTTCAGTGTTGTGTGAGTGTCACGTTGTGGTGGATGTAAGGCTGTTGGGTCTGCTTCTGGAGTGACCGTTGCTTCTGTTTCAGGTGTCAGAACCGGGATTGTTTAGGTAGGAACAATGGCAGGAACAAGACCTGAATTCGGATTTGAAGGCTGATTTTGTGGAGTGAAACTGGCTTGAGTGTCTTGGAGGAGATCTCAAATCTGATATTCCCTTGAACTCTCCCCCTGAATGTCGGATTTGGGAAAGTAAGGTTGATTCTCGAAGAAGGTTACATCCATGGAATTATATATTTTTCTGGTAATGGGAGAATAACACTTGTAACCTTTTTGATGTGAAGAATAGCCAAGGAAAATACACTTGAGAGATTTGGGATCAAGTTTGGTGCGATGACTGTGGTGGATATGAACAAAGGAAGAACAACCAAAGACTTTGAGATGTAAGTCGGAAGTAAAAGCTAGGATATGTGGATGTGTGGTGGTGAGGACATGACAAGGAGTTTGAAATTTTAGGACACGATTAGGCATCCTATTTTTGAGATTTGTGGCTGTGAGTATGGCTTCCCCCCCAAAAATGTTTAGGGACATTATTGGTAAACATAGTGGAACGGGCTATCTCAAGCAAATGTCTGTTTTTTCTTTCAGCCACTCTATTTTGTTGTAGAGTGTCAACACAAGAACTTATATGAATTATACCATGCTTTGACAAGTAAGAGCCAAAGATGGAATTAAAGTAATCTTTAGCATTGACGGTTTTTAGGACCTGGATTTGGCTTTTGAATTGAGTAGAGATCATAATATGAAATGATTGGAAAATGGTGGTTGTTTCAGATTTTTCTTTTATAAGGAAGGTCCAAGTGGTTCTTGTATGATCATCTATGAATGTTACAAACCACCTAGTCCCGTTGATATTTTTCATACGTGAGGGTCCCCAAATGTCACTATGGATCACAAAAAAAGGATGTGAGGGTTTGTATTGTAAACTTGAATATACATGTCTAGTGTGCTTTGCTAGTTGACAAATTTCACATTAATAAAAATTAAAATTTTTATTGATGAACAAATGAGGGAACAATTTTTCAACATAAACAAAGGTTGGCTGACCGAGGCGATAATGCCATAACATGACCTCACTATCAACTAAAACAGACACAGTTTTGGAATTGGAAACAGACTCAGAATTGGAAGCAAACTTAGACTTTGGACTGGACTCTGAAACACAACTTGACCGATGAACTTGTCTACTTTGGGAGATTATTTTGTTTGAGCAGATATAGTACACCATGCATATCAGCACTGTCAATCACCTTCCCCGAATCCACTGCTTGAAAATCACAAAAATTGGAATGGAATTTAATAACACAATTGAGGTCCCGAGTGAGTTGACTGATGGAAAGTAAATTGCAGTTCAATTTTGGAACATAAAGGCGCATGACTGGTTTCGTCTTAGCGCGCTGGGAGAGGGATCTGAAGAGCAGTGGGTTGTATGCGCCCATTCGAGCCACCATGTACGGAATCCCAGTCAGCTGTCGCCATTTCTTGGCTCTGCTGGAGACCTACATGCCTGACAGCAACACCTTTCTGACCAGTGGTGGTGAGCTAGGGCTAGCCTTGCAGCACTGCCAATCACCTTCCCCGAATCCACTACCTAAAAATCACAAAAATTGGAATGGAATTTAGTAACACAATTGAGGTCCCGAGTGAGTTGACTGATGGAAAGTAAATTGCAGTTCAATTTTGGAACATAAAGAACAAATGAAAGATGAAAATCCTCTGTTAAATGAACTGATCCGGTTCTGCAACTGGGGAAAGTGATCCATCTACAATTCTGATTCCTGAATGATTGGTGCAAGGTTGAAAGTCTGTGAGAATACTGAGATCTCCAGTCATATGGTCCGAGGCACCTGAGTCAACTATCCATAGTTTTGACTGATTGTTTTGAACACTAAAAGCGAGGGACTGAATACCTTGGTGAGCTAGTAACTGGTGCTACGTTACTCGGACACGGTGGTTTGGCCGTCGTACCGGCGTCGATACGACCCGACACCGATCCGGGTAGCGAAGAGGAAGAGGCAGGTCAGCTTGAAGCAGTTTGCCTGCTATTTGTTCCAGAACTTGGAGGGTGACTCCGGCGGGCCCATTCGTGAATTAGACGTGTTGACCCCTTCCGCCGTTAATGAGTTGTTGGAGAAGGCTGAGGCTCAATCTTACACTATCGCCAGTGCTGAGGGAGCTTTTCCCGCGGGGACCAAGTTTCGCTCTTTTCTCTGCCGTGCACAGAAGTCCATTGCGGTGGTTGGCACTCGGATACGGCAAGCTTCGAGGGAGGAGTCGACGAGCTTCGAGGGAGGAGTCCACGAGCTTCGAGGGAGGAGTCGACGACAAGCTTCGAGGGGAGAAGAGCTTCGCAGGAGAACAGTAACAACCCGAGCCCTAGCATCAAGTTGGAGTGAGATCTGGAGGAGGAGAGAGGAAGGAGGGAGCCGATCTCTTGGATCTGGAGGAGAGAGGAAGGAGAGAGGAAGGAGGGAGCCGATCTCTTGGATCTGAAGGAGGCGGCGGAAAATGGGGAAAATAGGGAACCCTAGCCCATAGAATCCCCGTCCCTTTCATGCAGCTGTTGGAGAAGAGCAGATGGCTCGGGAATAAGTTTAGCGATGTTCAACGAGAGCTTCGAGTCCGCAAGAGCTGGGAGTTCTTTAAGTGTTTCCCTCACTTTTCAGGTCACTATGGCGACGTGCTGATTGATGAGGAGAAACCTAGAAGTGATCGGACCGTTCTCGACGCTGGATGCTTTCGTTGGCTAGTGAACATCCGCATTGGGTATCTTGTTCTCCGGGTGAAGAACCAATGCCACATAGAGCCTTATTTTCAGAAATTTCGTATCGGACACTCGGATCCGCACCCGTATCGGATACTCGTACCCGAGTCCATGTAACATAGAACTGGTGTGTTGCTCGGCAGTGAATGAAGATGCTTAGTTAGAGACAGAAGCTTGACTGAACATTTTTTGTAATGCCTTAATTTGCTCTCTGGTGAATGGATTGCCTTCTGCACTGTTGTCAGGTGTAGTAGCAGCGTTTGCACGGGTTTCTCTATTATGTCGACCACTGGATGGCTTCCAATCTGTAGGTTTGCCGTGCAATTTTCAGCAAGTTACCTTTACATGTCCAAGCTTCCTACAATGATCACACCATGGACGTCCTTTGCCAGCTCTATTGTTTTGTGATGAACTATGAGTGTATAGGGCTGAACCTTCAACTGTAGGGGTGATATTAGCATTTGGCAACATCAATTTCTTTCTGCTCTCCTCCCTTCGGACCTTGGCAAATGCTTCCCGGATAGTAGGAAAGGGTTTAATCCCCATAACTCTTCGGAAAGGGTTTAATCCCCATAACTCTCCCTCTGACTTCATCTAGGTCTTTGTTAAGGCTAAGAAGAAATCTGATTGTCCGCTTTTGATCAACAATCTGCCTATACAGTGCAGAATCATTAGCACACTTCCAAAGATGGATCTCATATAAGTCTAATTGTAACCAACAGCGGGTAAGGGTGTTAAAATATTGAGTAACACTCATCCTCCTGTTTTAGGTTGTACACCCGTGTTTCAACCTCAAACAATTCAGAAGTATTCTTTGTGCTAGAATACGTTTCACGTGCTGCCTCCCATATCTCTTTAGCTGTCCTATGGAGCAGAAAGTTTTCTCAACTTCAGTGGTCATAGAATTTATTAGCCATGACATGACTAGATGATCATCAGTTTTTTAGGATCTATATTTGGGATCTGTAGTCTCTGGAGCAGCTGTTTCACCACTGAGATGTCCATCCTTCCCTCTGCCGCAGACAAACAAGAACACAGATTGGGACCATTACAGAAAATTTTGGCCATGGAGTTTTGTAATTCGTGACAAGGTGTGGAGAATAATCGAGAATTGTGGGAACAGGAGAACTGGGCTCGGATCTGGAAGTAACTTCCGAGGAATTAGATTGTGAAGCCATGTCGTATTTGATCATGGGAGAGAATCGACCAGATGAATGAAAGGCCAGACGAAGAAAAAAGAATTAGGGCTCAGAAAGCTAGCTCTGATACTATGAAGAAATCGTGAATTTTCTTCTTATTTAAAACAAGAGAATTACATCATTAATATAGTAGAATGAGTGGTTGACATATCAATCCACCAAAATAGGAAACTGAATTCTTTTAAATTAGGAATTCCAATGAAACATGAAACTACCTAGATTACAAATAATAAATTTGGAAAAAACTACAACTAAATCTAATCTAATCTTTTCAAATAAAGAAAGTAATCTTCCTAATTTATTTACATAATTCGATCCCTTTTTCTACACTTTATATCCATTTCTTTGATCTCATTAGACATGGTTGGGTTTGTTTCATCCCATACCCAAGTTCCAAACTATGATTGAAAAAGGTCATTTGAGTGTCCAGTTCGAGAACGAGCAGTATCCAATTTATAATAATCAACATAGTAAAAGGTATTTAAAAATATGATAGGAATTTTAATTCTAATAATACATGGATTTTACAAAAAATGATCTCATGTAAATTATTAATTTCAATTATATGTAGCCATGTCCATGTACACATTTTACAAATTTGCTGTCCCCTACTCTTACCCGCACCTGTACTTGTACCCGTCCCATGCAACTTAGGTGCACATCAGTTTCCTCAAAATGGAATCAACCCTGATCGTGGTTGCATTACTTATTTAATTTATGTATACTCTGAGCAATATCCACTTTTGTGTAACTGTTCTCTGCAACAATTTATGTGATTTGTAGGGAATACCTAACATTAACATACTTTGAAAGGTATTATATTAGGGAAGCAAACTTGGCTAATTGCAGCACATAGTTTTCTGTTGGTGGCCAATAGTTTTCTGTTGGTGGCCAAAGACACTGACGATAAGTGAAAGGAGCAGTGAGCATATTTCTAAAATGATCCTAAATACTGATTATAGTTCACAAGGATAAGAATAACAAAAAATTATCTTCTGACAGACCATTTGAAGTATAATACACGTCTCTCGGAATTTTGATCGGTGAAGTATCAAATTAATATTCAGAGTTACGTGCTGAATAACACAATTTCTTCGCTGCTCTATCAACTAATCCCACTTGTTCATGTGCAATATAAACTATGGCGTGGCCTTTTTTTGTTGCTGTTAATTTAATGTCCTCTTATAGTCATGATCCTATCCTTGCTTAACTGCCATGTGCCAACTTTAGAAATTATAAGCAACTTTTTGTTGGGCTGCAGAGGTCTCACTTATTGTAGCAATGGATACGGATCTATAGATACTTTCTTCCTTTCATTACTATTTATTTTTCATGGAAAACTTTTTCCAACACTTTGTTATCCTTCCATGATTTGATGGTTCTTTTTGCAGGTTCAAATTGATGAATCTAATGCTTTATCAGCAGCACAGACAGTTAACCTGTTGTCCAACGCTGTAATTAAGCTAGCAAGTAACCAGTTAGAATCTGAATCTGATTCAGTAGATGGATTTCCTTTTGCTGATCTCCTCTCTCTTGAGCCATTTGCTGCATTGTTTAAAAACATGAAGAAAACAAATGTTATTAAATTTGATGCTGCTGATTCAGCTTTGGCTACTCTTAAGAGTATCAAAGCACTTTCTGAGCTCTGCTCTGAGGATGTGGCATGCCAGAATAAATTAGCTGACTCTGGAATCCTTTGCTTACTTAGGCGTTTACTTCTGAATGATGATTATGAAAATCTGGCTGCAATTGAGACATATGATGCATCAAGAGCCTTAGAGATGCAAGACCGAGGTTCATCTTCCTCTGGCGATAGATCTTCTGTAGAATCTAATGATCCTTCTAGTGTCCGAGTTCCACCTACAGCACATATTCGCAGACATGCTGCTCGTCTTCTTAGAATTATCTCTCTCTTGCCGAAGGTTAAGGAAGCCATTCTAGCAGATAAAGATTGGTGTAAATGGCTTGATGATTGTGCTAGTGGGAAGGCCTCTTGCTGTAATGATCTGAAAACTCAAAGTAATGCTAGGGCAACTTTGCTAAACATCTTTTGCTTGGATCAAGAAGAAACAAGGAAAATGATTCACAGATCCAATGGTGATGAAGGTGGGAACCAAAGAACAAAGTGTGCTCAATATGAGGATATGATATTTTTAATAAACCCTGAACTATCATATTGGAAATGGCCTGGCAAGAAAAATTTGGTCATGTGTCAAGATTCTCCAGTTAACTCTTCGCCTTCTCATGATAATGATTCTGTTGCTGATGAAACTAGTAACACTTCCAACTATCTAGATGTGTCAGATCTGGAATCACGTTCTCCTTTACTAGATGTAGTCTTTATCCATGGCCTAAGAGGTGGGCCATTCAAGTCTTGGCGTATTGCAGATAACAAGTCTTCGACAACCAGTAAAGCTGGTCTTGTAGAAAATATAGATCAGGAGGCTGGGAAAGAGGGTACATGTTGGCCAAGGGAATGGCTTTCTGCTGATTTTCCATATGCTCGCCTATTTACTGTAAAATACAAGGTTTGCACTAGATCTTTCTTATTGATAAATTTTAATAAAATGATGCATCAAAGTTGCAATCTTCCTCTGTGATCCACTTAGCAGCTTTAGCAGTTATAATTTGCAAGGTCCTCTCCAGGTTGGACCCTCTGATGAACATCTACCATCTTATTGAATGATTCATGCAGACAAATCTAACACAGTGGTCTGGAGCTAGCTTGCCACTTCAGGTTTGTGCCTTGAAATTAATGTACTCTTTTATCATATTTTCGTAGCATTTTATAATCTGCATATGTGGTTAATCTACTTGTATATACTGTGAAATCTGGTGGGAAGATAAGTTAGAAATATTTCCATGCTTTGAACCTCAATATCAGTATCATAGTACATATTGTCTTAGCTGTTTTTATGAATTGCATAAGCTGTAAAGAAGAGCATTTGTTACATGGCTCCACATCAGGAGTTAAAGTTGCACTACTTTCAGGCTTTAGTTCAAGTTGGCTAATAATGTTTTTTGTTATACTGTGCTAGTTTTGTCCTTTTTTAAAATTTAATGCAGTCGTGGAATTTGAATGTGTGTGTACATACATACATATGTGTGTGCGCGCATAACCTTTTCAAGGTTGAGTGGATATTTGATGGCATGATTGGTGAATTCAAGTGTTTGTAAAATGTATATAGACGTGTCTTATACTGGAAATAAAGTCACTTATCTCTTGTACTTAGTACGAAGTAATAGGAATAAATGTGCTTGGAAAGCCATTGTGCACGCTAACCTTGAAGTTGTTCTTTGTCATGCATGTGTATGTTCCATTTAACATTGGTTAGGAAAGAACAAGTGCTGCTCTCAAGAAAAGGTAAGACAGTTTTTCCTCATAACAGTTTATTTACTACAAACACTTTAGTAGCATATTTAAGCAACAATGCAAAATGGCCACTGAAAGGAGCCAAAACATATGATTTCGAGATTTCAAGATCGAGAGGGAGAGGGAGAGGGAGAGAGAGCATATTTAAGCAACAATGCAAAATGGCCACTGAAAGGAGCCAAAACATATGATTTCTCCTTGCTTGCCAATTTTTCATTGATATTATTCTGTTTCAGTCTAATTCTAACAAACTGATGGATATTTGACCAGAGAACCTATTTCTTCATTTAAAATAGAACTTTTGGCATGGCTGGAAAGAAGGGGAGGGGAGGAAGAAAGGAGGGACATTACGTAACTCAAAACATATCTGGACTACTTATTCTGATACCTGAAAAAGTAGTTTGATACTTACCTGAAAAAGGAGGGAGGGAGAGAGAGAGATTACCCAACATCTTATTTAGGCCTTGCTTGCCAATTTTTCATTGATATTATTCTGTTTCAGTCTAATTCTAACAAACTGATGGATATTTGATTAGAGAACCTATTTCTTCATTTAAAATAGAACTTTTGGCATGGCTGGAAAGAAGGGGAGGGGAGGAAGCATGGCTGGAAAGAAGGGGAGGGGAGGAAGCATGGCTGGAAAGAAGGGGAGGGGAGGAAGAAAGGAGGGACATTATGTAACTCAAAACATATTTGGACTACTTATTCTGATACCTGAAAAAGTAGTTTGATACTTACCCAGATTTCAAACCTGACTCCAATTATGCACCGTACTTACCTAGATTTCAAACCTGACTCCAATTATGCACCGTCTTCTTGATCTCAAATAACGAGTGTGGCAGTATTGTTTTCAATCGTTTTTCACTTTGCTGGTGGTGAAGTAAGCTTTGATTGCTTTAATGCTAGGTCAACATGGCGCCGCATTGTTGAATTTCAAAGGCAAGGCTGCTATTTAGATGATCTTCTTGCTTGCACAAAGTGAATCATAAATAAATATTTAGTTGGACAGTTATTTTGGAGCATGCCTGTGGAGGAACCCGACTCTTGGAGTACCATCTCAGCTATGTTACCCAAGTACTTCTATCTTGAAGCCGTACCCATACCCGGCACAGAAACTTTATTAGCACTCCTTGGATATACATGTACATTTATTCATACATGTACACATTTGGCATACACTTACTAGACATAGGTCGGGTTTGTTTCAGCCCATGCCCATGTTCAAAGTTATGATTTAAAAGTGTCATTTGAGTGTCTAGTTAAAAAAACGAGTAGTTTTCGATTTATAATAATCAACATAATAAAAGAAATTTCAAAGAAATTTTAGGAATTTTAGTTCTAATAACAAATGAATTGAAAGACAATAATCAACACACACAGAGCCCGTCCGCGCCCCAGTTCATAAATTTTCCATGTACTGCACCCATACCCGTTCCCGTCCAACTTAGGTTCTCAGCAATCATCCAACTTAGGTTCTCAACAATCAGTGGATGCTAATTCTAATGTCAAGTCAAAGAAGCATGGCTAGAAATTGAAGGGAAACCATATCTTCTTAAGAGAGTAAGATCAATGTTTTAAATGTCGGCCAACATGTCGGATTTGTCGGCCAACATGTCGGATTTAGGGGCCAACCGATACGATATGGAGCTTTTCAATATGTATTGCGTTTTCAGAGTTTATGTCGGATATATCGGGCGACATGTCAGCATGATTTTAAATATCGGCCGATAATCCTATATTATCGTCGAGTTATCGGATTTGGGAGCTTTCCGCTAGGATAAGTAGGATTTTTAATCGGTTATCGTTTGTTGAGATTTATCGGCAAGTTATCGGCGATAAAGGTACTTATCGGCCGATAAGTATGCTCTAAATATCGGCTTTATCGGCTAATAAGTAGGATTTGGGAGCTTTTACTTTCTTTTGGATTTGCTCTTTGAATGTTTATAAATTATGAACTATTTGTTGCTTTTGGAACTTGGTTGATTGATGATTAGCTTATGTTTGTTTATGGATATTGATAATGGCTCATAAGTACTAAATATCAACTTAGTAAGTTAGTTTATGAATCTCATGAATAAACAATAATTATGTAGATGCGTAGATGGTTCTTCATTCTTGATGTTATCTTATTATTTGCTAGTGTATTATTCCATTTTGACTAATGTTATATTTTTTTCAAGCTTATGTTTGTTTATTATTTGCTAGTATATTACTCCGATAAATACTACTTATCCCCGATATATTCCCGATTTTCGCTATCAGATAAGGATTTGACCGTTCGATAAATCCCCGATAACTGACATTTAAAACCTTGTATGTCGGATATATCGGGCGGATATGTCGGTGATATATGAGTTATGTCGGTCGATTTTTTAGTCTGAAAATTTGGTTGATTTTATTATTATTTTGATTATATTTATCTAATCAGGTTTGGGTTTAAACTCTTGATTGTCTTAATATTACTCCCCAAAACAAAAACCGATAAGTTAAGGGAAATGGAAAAAAAGACCGAAGTAATATCCATCGCCCATCTTCTCTCCCTCCTTCGACATCTCATCGGTCTCTTCTCCGAGCTATTCCTTCGACATCAATATCCGAGCTATTTTTTTCTTAACCGCTAATATCCTTTTCTCACATCTTTCCTTCAACATCAACCCTAAGCATCATAAGTTATTCACTTTCTTATATGTTTAGACAATAGAATTTTTTAAGTCTGTTTAGATTTTATTTATGATATTTATATTACACATATGCGCATCATCCGATATGAAAATCCGATATTTTTTTCATGTCCTCCGACATATCCCTGGTTTCCGCTATCCGACATGAATTTTAGCCATCCGACATGAACCTGACATTCGACATTTAAAACCTTGAGCAAGATAACAGTGATAACACTAAATATCACATTTTTATATTAAGTTCTTAAACTGAATTGATAATGTATGCACAACTCTGGACAGAGGATGATATTCATGCTTAATCTATTTTATCTGATTTAGTAACAAAATTGACAACTGATGTTTTTCTAGGTTAGTTTGAATGGTTGATCATCACTTTTTTGGCATATGCAGGAGGTGAGTTCCATGTTGCTTCAGAAGTTAGTTGCTGCTGGTATTGGGGATCAACCTGTTGTATTCATTACCCATAGGTATGTATTCTTATTCCAAAAGTTATTTTCATTTGTGATTCATATGCATTTTTTGTTCGAGTTACCCTGCCATTGCACTAAGACTCTAAAGTTTGGTTGTGGGTTATAATTTTTGAGTTATAATTTTAAACATACTCCCTGAAAGGTGAGGACCCGTTTTACGGTGGGAATTGAATCGGGTGGCTCTATTACCATGTTAAATAAATGCATAAATACCAATATGAGCTATAATAGTTACCAAATATACATATCAATATCACCCAAATGTTTGCATTATATGTGACTGAGAAAACAGAACCGTGCATGTCTAGCGAGAGTGCTATAATCTATCTATTAGGTATCAGTACTGCATTCTTGATACGGGAATGCTCTGTCCTGTGGGTGGGGGGGGGGAGATGGTGTGTGTGTGGGGGGGGGGGAACAAACAACAACAATCATTTCTTTTGCATTCTAATGGTTTCCTTGACCTCCAAACTTCTGTTCTCACTTGGAACATGCCGTCAGCAAATGCTTTGATCACTTCGTACTTCGTAGGTTCATATATGCTTGGTCTTCTTTTTTCTGTGTATAGCCTCTATGTTCTTCTAATTCCTCTACATCCTTGTAACTTTGCGGTATCACCATATGCTAACATTATGTTTGATTCATTTTTTCCCCTTGTTGAAATGTTTGCTGATACAGTTATACACCATCAGTGCATCTCAACTTCGACTTTATTTGTAGCTTTTGGGGGCTGCCTCATCTATCATTCATTTATTCTCTTTCTATGTACTTGACGAAATGTTACAGCCATAGCTGGTGCCCAGTGCCCAAGCATTTTCGGTGATTTTCATATTTACATCCTATGCCACTATTGCATTTACAGCTCATTCCACTATCGGTTTGAGATCTTGTGGATGCCAATCCAGGTCCTAAGTTTCTTATACAAAAGGACCCAGGATTGAGTACCTGGGTTCATTTTAAACAAGAAAAAGTAAAACTACCAGGTTTTGGTCCACATCACTGACCTGGCCTAAACTTGGTTGGTGTATGTAAAAGAAAAATCAACTCGGTCGTTTTTTACTTCACTTTTTTAAAATATTTTTTTAATGAGCTTTTTGAAAGTACAGATACTTCCTGCACAAGTAAATTATATGACGT